TAAGGATAAATTACCCAGAAAATGATACCATGTTGGATGCTTATGCTTGTGGAATATCTTATTTATCCTAGTGGCCTTTGGGTACATCCAAAAGGTTTGGCTAATATTTCTAATCCAAGATTCTTACCAGAATGGATTATTTCATCCACACAGATCTGAGTTGATCAACATTGTTTAAGGATTTGGAAATAGTGGGTATCTGATGAATGTTTCAACCTGAAACTATTAAAATTGTTGCCATTTATCTCTAGATTGCCAAAGACTAGTCCCTTTAATAGTCATTGTTTCTAGATAACTCATCATTAAATGGATAATTTAAATAGATTACGTAATGGGTTGAGAATGACTGAGAACATGCGGACAACTGCTGTGTGGCTCTCATTACCGAAAACGATTATAGACAGTACAGAACCCCTAGGAGAAAAAATCAAGTGTTCTCTCTTCTAGTTCTACAATGTCTTTAATTAACCATGAAAGTGCCACTCATTTTCACTCACTGAGTTTTGCTGAGATCTAACTTTGGTTCAAATTGTGCTGAAGTCTAAGGTTCAAAGAAATGAAAGTGGGGGGTGGGGATTCTCTTCACCAGGTTTCCGTAGGTATACTGTTGTTGTATCAAGAAACAAAAATGACCATATAAGATTATCTGTACTATATTCATGCTATGACTATATCAAGACTTTTCTTCTATAGGAGTTAATAATGCAGAGAGGAGGGGAAAAAAAAAAGACTGAGGTCCATACAAGGAAACATGGAATTGCAAAGAAACATGTAAGGCAATTCTTGAAGAAAAAAAAATCTCATAAAAAGAATAATCTTGAATGTCTAGAAATTCCAAGAAAAAAAAACTTGTAAGAGAAGAATTAACATTTCTTCCAACTATTTGTTCCTAGTATAGTCATTTTTACTTTAAAAAATCAAAAATTTATCCATGTCAAGAATAACCATCATGAGAAAGTGACTTGGGTACTGTGGAAAATCTATAGATGTTATGGAGTAGGATCTGGGTTTGAGCTCCAAATCTCAGTTAAGTGACCCTTTCTGAGTTCAATTCCCAAGTATGAAATTAAGACTGAGGAAACAGTTTCTCCACCCCAGGAGGATCACTGCGGGCTCCCAAGGAACAATATGTGAAAAAATAACTGTACATTGTCAACCACAATATAAAGGGTGTTTGGGATTATTATCACTATAACCCAGTGCATCTTCAGCAACAAAAGATTTTAACCAGATTTTTTTTAAAGCAGGAAAAGTAATTTACAATGAATCTATTTCCTGCCCACCAATGAGATTGTTTTGTTCCATTCTTTGCAAAGGCTTTACAAAATTACAAGGCTGCTTCCTTAACAAGAGACTGGATTGCGGTGGTTTGGAAACTGTTGTGCAAGAAACAGCAGAGGGACTGAGGGTGGAATAGACCTCTTCTATTCTGCCATAGATGAGTGCCGTGGGCACACTCTTAAGGTGGAGATCACAACAGGGAAGACTATGGAAAGAATGGTCTAACAGCAATAGCAGTTCCCAATGAAAAAACCGCTTCAGTGGTAGAGAGTGATCAGCCCATCCATGGCCAAATCAAGCAAAGACTGAATGGAAAAGCAAGTTGAACTAGGTTAACTTTAAATGTCTTATAACATATGTCCTTCCTATGACTGCCTATTTCTGTTAGGGGAAAGTCCTAAAGATGTATTTGAACTTTTATCTTCACTGCCTTGGGAACCTTGATATCAGAAACCTGTGGTAGAATGAATTATTGGTCCCAACTCTTCTCTCCCTTGCAGTAGTAGTACATAGTCTTAGTCATGCTGTGGCTTCTTGATGAGTGGAGCGTACGCCTTCTCTTTGACTCGACTCAGTCATGTGACTTGTGTTAGCCAATGTGGCATTAACAGACATGAGGCACAGTTGACCTTTTCTGCTTCTGTGTTCATCAGCATGGCCATTCTCCCTTCAGCACAGAATATGAAATGAAACATGTGGCACAGACCAACCCTAGCTGACCTCGGATGACCAGATTTTTTACAGCAGAGCTGCCTCAACCAATTTGTAAACCATCAGTGAGAAATTAAAGGGTATTTTTTGTATGTCACTGAAAATTTTAGGGGTTATTTGTCATTTGGCAATAGCTGACTGGTGTAACATGTGTTACAAAATATATTTTAAGGAATGATTCAGAATTGTCCAACTTTCATACTGGAGCCTATGTAAGTAAATTCAAATGACCTCATTAGAAACTGGTCACCAGTGAGACTGCTTGACCATCAAAGATGCATTAATAAAAGTGTTCTATTTATCATTCAAAACATTAAATCACCTAGGAAAAGAAATGTAAACAAAAATTATCATAATTACTGTTGCTGGGAGGCATAAGTATTCTCTCCAAAGGATTCACATGCATTTTTTAAAGTAATGAGAACAGGGAGACAAAGTGTTCTGAATGTTTTTCAACAAAGCCTAAATAAATTTATCCCACCCACCACAAGTCTGCAAAACAGGCAGCTGTAAGCAAAACGGAGTTTAATCAAATTCAGGCAAAATCACTGTTTTAAAAATATTCAGGGAGATTTTATGCAGAATGCATTAATAAGCTCCACAGTGTATATGTTTATTCCTATATTACAATGCAAAATGCCACATAAAGTATGTATATGCCCTTTTTTCCACCAATGCAGGAACTCACTACAGTGGAGATATCATTTTAAGCTGGATGCTGAGACTCATACTCGCCCTACTACAGTAGCTCCATGGACTCAGAACCGAAAAATGAGCTGCTACAGCCAGAGGGAGGCTGCCAGGATTGAAGCCACAGTGGATAAGGGCACAGGCGCTACTCCACTGGCTTCTACAGGTATTATGACAACTTTAATATTTTTCATGGATAGTAAATCAAATTTTGATATCAAAATCTATATTTGATCTCAAGGTAAAATGTGTATTTAGGTCAGAGAAGTGACATGTAAAATTTGAATGCCGGAGGCTACTTCTTTAATGTAGTGACTCCCCATGCAATCCTCATTGTGGCCTGCTTGCATCATAAAGCAGACTGAGAAGTTACAATGAATCATATGATTTTTATTCAGTGCTTGTATTTGCTGCATGCTCCATGTATGAACAATATTACAGATCATAATTTATCATGCAACAGAATTATCCTTTTTAACCTATAAGGACAAGAATGTCTGTTTAATATTTATCATTCTTTATCAAAATTTTGTAATACTTATGTATTATCTCCTTTCTAACCACAGTGTCCCTATGCAGGCACTTGAAATTCTACTCTCCCTGCTCTTCATGATTATGAAGAGAAAATACTCGATGGGACAATTTTTTTTTTAAATCTGAAAAAAGCAAAACATATGAAAATATATTGGGAGAAATATTATTAAGATATTAGAAAACTATCATGGTTTATTTTTTATTACTTTTTTCATGGTGGAAGATCTACCTGGCAAGAATGTGACAAACTAATTTTAATGATGTGCTCATCACAGACTCGAAAGCCTTCCTGTACAAGGCAATGGGATATGAACATGCCTGTGTGGGGGGGGGGGGGTGGGGGGGGAGGTGGAAATAATAAAAACATGCCATACCTAAAAGGATTTAAATTCTGTGGCCTCACAAAGTATCCACTTGGCCACCACAAATAAGGCTGTGCCCACTAGTCTGTGGATCCTCATATACTCTCCAGTTTATTGCCTAGTTCTGTTCACTTCCCCAGAACCTGGGTAGAAGAAAATTAATGAGGAACATGTAGCTTGTTGTTAGCTCTGACAAGGGAAAGAAGGAAGATCTGCATTTCTTGACCAAAGGGACATGGTAAGTTCTGAATAAGTTAAGCTTTGATACTCTCCCTATCATCAATTAGGAACAGAAATGAAGAGGGAGCAGGCTGCAACATTCACATTGCCTGTTATGCAAAGATCTGACCAGAAAAGAAAATGACCCCTCCATGCCAAGGGTAATATGAATGGCTCAGGGGAAAAGCTGATTTCCTCAACTATGCATGTCATTATGCGAGTAGCTACTGTTGTCAGCTTGGCATGATCCCAGCTGGAAGGAGGCACCACATGGACGGAGCATTGGAGACGTGTGCCTCTTTCTGTCTAAGACTTGGGAATATAGTAGAGCACACGAACTCGAGAAACAGGAGCACACTGGCAGAGCAACCCAGGGTCAGATGACAGAAAAGGTAGACACAAAACACGCAATCTGATTCCTTATTGAAATGTGAACAGAGGTAGATAAAAGGGTCAAACAGAGGAAAGGGAAATTCTAAAGAGACTAGTTTTAAGCCTCTAACAGAGGAGGTGGGAAACTGACTTCTGGATGGTACTTCTGAGGACAGAAGACCTACCTGAGGCCAACATGGGCATGAATTCATCTCGGAAGGGAGACCAGCACACTGGCTCAGGCCAGCAGAACACAGAGATTATGAGCAGTGGGTTGGGTGAAAGGAAAGAGGGAGGACAGCCAGGGAAAAATGTTGAATGCCTTCTGAGGTGACCCTATATCTGATAAAACAACACAAAGAAGCTGTCAGAAATAAGACATGGACATGAAAAGCACTTCTAGGGCAGAAATACAGGAGCCCAAAGAAAGAACTGGTATGGGGGGCATGTTGCATAGGGGAAGGCAGTCAAAAATACACAAACCAACAGGTAAGAAGCTGAGATCACAAAGGTCAGAGAGGAATAGTCACAAAGTCTGAAAGAAGAAAGGAGAAGGCAATTAACTGAGAAGCCACCCCAGGGGCATGTAGTATCTTCATTCTACTTATTACAGTGAGGGGAGGGCATGTGAAATCCCTGGGACGTTTGGGAAGCTGGATGTATCACTAATGTGCTCTGTTACAGAGTTGCCCTAGTCACAGCTAAAACGGAGGATGTCAATGAAGGTCACAGCCAGACTGGACATTTTTTCAGGCAGCACAAATTAGTCTGCCAGAATCCAGCAGGCTGAGACAGGCTCTAACCCAAACTATAAGTCAACATGAAGCCAAACACAATCAGAAATGCTTTAATCACTTCACAAATAATGAGGTGGGCCCAAGTTCACAAGGCTAAGTAAGGTTCAAGAAATAAAACAAGGTGGTGATAAGCACAGTTTATAAGTACTCTGCTATGACCTACTTTATTTTATTGTAGATATTTAATATATTTACATCTTTCATTTTAGAGGTCTGCATTTTTCCAGTTTCAAATCAATTCGTTATATGGAGATATTCATAGTCCTTGACTGCTTTCATAATGTTCATTTTATTATAGATCTCAAAAAAATATGCAGTGTTTTCATAAGTTTCCTCCCTAGAGCCTTGTCAAATGTGAGATTAGCCACAGAGCCTCATCCTGAGAGTTGAGTATCAGCTTCCAGACCTCAGGGGCCACATTCTGATTGCCCTGAAGACACAATGAGCTGGTGAAAGTCTGGGCATTCTGGGCTTCTGGAGAGTGCTCAGACAGACTATTTCTTGAATCTGATGGAACTTCCTGTTTTTGAAAGAAGACAAGCTGGACTGCTGGTAATGTTTTCTTCTCTGGAACAATAATGCACCTGAATTCACTTAAAGCACGAAATTTGATGACATCAAACTGTGTTCGTGGAGGAGGTGTGCTTAGAGACCGAATGTGTGGATAGAAAACTCGGTCTTCCCTCACAAGGGCAACATGAGTGTTCAGAAGAACCAGTGACTGACAGGAGTCTTGGCCAGAATCATCTTCAACTCTGACTGTCGTGTAGAGCAACAACTGAACCTCTGCCAGAGATGGGATGTTGACTTCCATATTTGCATGAAGAAAGTAAATCATGTCAACCATGGTATCCTGGAATTTGGATGACAGTCGAACTCCGTTTGACAAAACTAAATCAGGGATTTCTGTTTTCCAGTCAAGAGACAGCTGCACCAGATCTTGCTGGAGCAAAGGATGACTAGTGTAGGCAGTAGCATCAGACTCGGGCATCAGGACACATAGGAGGTCTCGGCATATTTGTTGACAGAGGTTCTTGTTATAACTAAATACAGTCAGCAGGAGACTCTCTGCAGAGCCCAGGAATCGAATGCTCTGCCCACCAAAGCCGATTTCAATCTCCTGTAGTTCAGATAGAGGTAGAGAATGAAAAATGCTCATGGAGCTTGGGGGGTTATCTGACAGGACCAAAGCAAACAATGTTGAAGGAAGCAGGAGCAAGCACACTGGATGGGGGTCAGGTTCTGTGCAGTTAGCAACAGCAAGCCAGTAAACACCTTTGACTTCATGCATGCCACCCAAAAGTTCTGGTAAGAAACAAGCCATATGCTCGAGAAAGTCCTTTGAAGGGCACTCTTGAAGTTTCAGCAGTTGATCTGGGAATTGCACAAGGGTCTGCTTAAATGCAGAGATCCTTCCAGCATCTTCACATTCCAGGTGGACAACTGAGCTCGGTGAGGGACCTGGTACCTCTGCAGCTGTAGAGCCTGGTACTCTGTAAGGCACCTCTGCTCTCTTGCCAGCCCCTGCCTCCTGGCTGTTGCTGCTGCCAACCGGATCTTCCGCAGGAAAAGAATGAGATTCTGGTGATACCCAGTGTGACTTCAAGGGCATGTCCAACGGTAAGTGTTTCACAAATGGCAGTCTTCTGATAAATGTTTTTACTTGAGAGGTGAGCCCACTGGGGTCCCATAGGTGCCCCATGTGCCTGGCATGGCTGATCACCTTTGTGCCAGCCTGTAGCAGGTGACTGCTAGTATCTTTATAAAGGTTGGAAAACCTGTGGTAAAAGTATCCCAATCCACTGTTTCCTTCTGTCTTGATATTTATCAGTGACTCTGGAAAGCTAAGTTTTTTAGAAGCTAACTCTTTCTCAGTGTGCTGCTCACGACAAAATTTTGAGGGTGGTGAATTCTGAAAAATGCTGGCAGATGCGCTCTCCTCACTAGAAACACTTTCAGAGAGAACATAGCAGAGTAACTTGCTTTTCCTGGTCTGTTTGTTTCCACTGTTTATAGACACTTCTTGGCATGTGTGCTGCAGAAAAGTCCAGCTGGACTCGATTCCCAAGTTGTGTTCGTTTTTATGAGTCATTGGCTCACTGAAATTTTCTGAGTTAACCTGAAAATGTTTTGCATTGCTGGTGCTGTTTTCATTAAGAAGAGGGATTTTAGATAGACTGAGACATTTTGACTGAAAACCATCTGTGTACTCAGGATGATTATACTTGCAATCACTGTCCTGCAGCACCTCAGGTGTTGAGGGCTGATCCATTCGCTGGCAAGTTCTCTCTCCTGATGTTGGAGAGAAGGTTGTAGGGCCTGAGATACTCCCAGCCACAGGATCTCTCTGGCGGTTGTTCTGATCCACCTCCCTCCTCTCCTCTCTGTTGGACGTGTCAGTGACATCTTTGGGCAGCAGCGGGGTAAGACACCTTTTCTGTTTAAGATGTCAAAAGTAGTTGAAAAGAGGATGTGGGACCAGCTTTTGTGATTCTTTGCAAATGAAGATTTTGGCAGTCATTTGTTTCATTGTGTGGATTGATTCAGAGGTTAAATCAAAAGCCTAAGCCATTAGTATTGATTGATATATGATTTAAAATATAAATGACCAGATTCACAGATAGAACATCAATTTCCATATTATATATTTTAAAAATTGCCAAGTCCTTTTACAAAAATACATTCTATAGAATTGATCCACAGTATCCATTTCTTGGTCTAAAATTTCATTCACTCTAAGTTAAATCTTAAGACCTTTGGGTCAGTTTTCAAAAGGTCAAATTTAATTGTAAAACTGAATCTATGACTATATGTCCAAAATGTAAAAGTAATCAGGGCACACTTAATGAAAATCAGACAGCAAGGATAAAAGAAATCGACAAGTACTCTAACCTGAGTAACACTTCTCTCACCTCTTGATTTGTTGTATGACGTTTCTTAATTTTACCTGGTTAGATTGCTATTACCATATCTACAAACCAGCACCATGAAAGGCCAGGCACTATGGATACAAAGAAATGAAAGGCAATATCCTGCTCTTCACAGGGTTACTGGCTAAAGGGATGGCTGTCCAGAGGAAGATGCCATTACCGGATGCCTGGAGGAGGACATGGCCGTGGCCGATCAGGTAAGCCTGCTGTGGAGCACCCCTTTTTTCATCTCTTACTCTGTTCAGTGATTTAGAAACTGCATCTGTAAGATTTATGTCACCTTACTATTTTTTTAAATTTAGCAATGTATGGGAAAGACCCTCAGTGGAGAAAAATAAAAGTAAACCCTTACAAATCATATGCCCAAATAAACCTTGGTTTGACAATCCACCAGAGAAATAAGCTAATAGACCAAGAAGTATTCCCTTTTTACTACTGCCAACTCAGTCTATAAAATAAGCAGGGTTTTTAAAATAACCAGAGGTACTGTTACATTTCCAAGTCCCATATCTGATTCAGATTATACATTGCGCTTTTTAAATGCAAACCAAGGGAAAGGATACTGTTACCAATGAAAAAGTGGTCAAAGCGCCTCCACCAGTGCTACATGCCAGTCAAATACAGTCAAAGCAGTTTTCAGCCTGCAAGATTCCATTTAATTTTTAGTCCATAGAATAGCTTGCCTTCCCTATTAGCCATTAATCTCACTGGGACTTCAAAATTCTAATTATGCAACTAAACATTAAGAAAATTTAATCATATGATCATGCCATAATTTAAGGCGACCCTATCAATCTAAAAAATCATTACCTACCTCGTATTTTAGCTTACGTTGAATGGTACCATTGTGAAGTTTCTCATTATTCTGAAAAGAAAATAAAAAGCCCTCTATATTAAATTATAGCATGTTCACAGAGGAGGAAATAACTAATTTGATTAGAAATGTTTATGGGAACAAAATTCTAAAGAAACATACGTGTCATTCAACAATGACAACCTTTCTATAGAATTTATATTCCATAGTAAACATGATTCTATTGATCTGTCTCCCTGTAAGAGAAATGAACTATTTATTAATTTTAAAATAGCAAGAATAATATTAAAATCAAGATGTCCTTAGAATAATTCTTAAATTTGCAGGCTAGAAATGCAATGCTTTTATTTTGATAAAGATCAACCTGTCACAAATATGTATCTTCTCAAAGGCAAAATTATACTTCTACTTTGAATAACTTATCAAATAAATAGTTATGGAAATTGGTTGTATTTTTTATTTTTATACGTTTTTTCAACTACAGTTTACATTTTACACTTAATATGATTTTGTATTAGTTTCAGGTGACATTGGTTGTATTTTTTGAGAAAACAAAAAAAATTACATGTAGAATTTTTATTTTTTTAATATTTTTTTTCAGTTGGGATTCTATTTTTTAAATCTTTCTTGTATTTTTTTCCATTGCCCTTTACTCTCCTTATACTCCCTGCCCCCAAGCAATCACCAACCACACTGCTGTCCATGTCCACGAGTCCTCTTTTCTTTTTGCTCATCCCTCCACCCTTTAACCTCCCCCCACCCCACCAGCTGTCATAGTGCTCTCCGTTTATGATTTTGTTCCCATTTTCATTGTTAGTTCAGTTTGTTCATTAGATTTCATATATGAGTGAAATCATATGGTATTTGTCTTTCTCTGACTGGCTTATTTCACTTAGTATAATGTTCTCCAGGTCCATCCATATTGTTGCAAAGGGTAAAATTTTCTTCTTTTTTGTGGCCAAGTAGTATTAAATCAAATGAAGTAAATAAAACATTTAATAAACTTTATATCCACTTAAGAATTTCCCCCAGAACTTCAAAACTTTAAAATAAATAAAGTTACTTTTTAACTAATACTATTTGGGAACTGTTAAGCTTCACCCAAGCAATACTTAATTTTTCTAGAACATTTGCATCTCAATTTTCTCACTGAGACACAGTAACAAAAGATCCTACAACCACCACCACCACCACCACCACCACCACCACTTATTGAAAATTCATTTTTAAAATGATTATGTTACTTTGGTTCCTTCAGCTCACCTTCGTCATAACTGCAGACATGTTGCTATTGTTACCAGTCACACGATGCAAAACCTGAAGACGCCTTTGGACTTCTTCTTCAATGTAAGCATTGACCCTGCAAATGGTGGACATGGAGGTACTTGAGCACTTCTAACCACACAGGGCACTGGAGATACTTTTTTTACTATGCCCTTCATAACAAGAAACTTTCTCATTTTAAATGCCAAACAGAACAACTACTCTTGGACCTTAAACATTTTTCTACTTTCTAAGAAGCCTAATGCCATTTTACTAGGCACTAGATTTCTTACTTTACTATCTGTGTTTTCTCCAAATGAAAGAGAACTGGCCAGGTAGCAGAATCTTGAGAATGGAAGGGAGACTAAGCAATCCCCTGCTGGCAGGTAGGGGAGAATCACAGACCCTGGTTTCCCAAGGCTCCCCAGATGCCAGCCATGAATCACTGATTCAGACCCAACACTTCATTCAATGAGCCCTGGTTTCCTCACACAGAAAACAGCGATGGTTATTGCTCACATCACAAAGTCATTTAAGAAGATTAAAAGTAAAAAAACAATAAAGAAGAAGAAAACATAATCTCCATGAATTTTCACTATCTCCTTACATGAATTTTCACTATCTCAAAAATGTCTTATATTGTTCCTGCTCTGTCTCTTGTCTTCAACTGGGTTACCTACACCTGGCTAGGAGAGACCACATTCTGATGTTCTCTACCTTCCAGAATGCTGGTCACAGGGTCAAGGCACTGGAAAACACAAACAGTTGACTTTTAAGGCAGTTGTTAACTGCGTATTTCATACCTCATAGAATGTAGGTGAAACTGTATGAAGTACAACCATCCAAACAGAGAAACCAAGCAGACTACAGAATTTTATTTCCATCTAAAATCTTTCTAAGGGTCAGAATGTTCAGATAGAAGTCGTAGTCAGCTCTAGGCAATCCTTCCCCTAGACACTGATTAGGTGAATTAGTTAAAATGAACTGTTTTGCATATTTTTATGCTACCACACTAAAAAAAATCTGGTTTCACCTTTCTAAGCACATGTATAGTCCTACAGCTATTCTTTGTAGTATTAATCATGGCAAAATGATTTTTGGAAATGCTGGGTAAAGAAATTAATATTTTAGGTAAGATAGCCCAGAAGAACAGAGTTTAGAGTAATAAAGTACAGCATTTACCTTTCAGTACTGAAGATAGAGTCAAGTGCAACTGAACCTGGGCCAAGGCCACAACAAATGAATTACCTCCAGGACTTTTACTTAATTTTTAAACTAGCCCCATGGAGTATACAGACCTATCTATAAAGGGCTACAGAGGCTCATGCTATTCTGAGTACATCTTCATATCCAAATACATATCTCTATGTCATATCCATGACATAAATGGTATTGAAAAAATAATTCAGTTTCTTACAGACAAAGACCACACAGGTCAATTTATCAGAGCTCTAAGCCACAGAGCATTTGATAATGCCACCCAAGTTGAGAGTCATTTTACTATAGCAACACCAGATATATAGTTATGTTATTCGTGATCATCCTGAATATACTGGTACGGTTTTTGTAATAGACTTCATTTATTTGTAATAAATGACTCCTATAAATTAACTGTCAGTATAGGTTCTTCTTCTTGACACAATTCAATTAACTCTATTTCTTTGTCCCTCTCAATTTGGCCTTGCATTACTCCTTTCTGGATGAGATGGTTTCCCAGGGTCTTTTATTTCTACCTTCTCAAACAAACTACTCATACCAGCATTCTTTGGATTTAGCTGGCCAGTACTCAGGTCTTTGGTTCCCTTTAAATAAAACCCAACCCACCACTGGCCAGGCAGCAGTTGATGGAGACAAAGCACGTCTCAGGGTCATAAATTACTTGTCACTTTGACAGACCCCTCCATAAGTTAATTGGCCAATAAGAGGTACAGGGACTCATTGCACCACATCAGAAATGTAGGTGTGGCATCAGTTTAATGCCCAATACCTGGCATCCATCAGAGGAACCAGGTGAGATTTTTCAGCATTAGACGACAAGCTGGAAGAAGCAGCTTTTCCCTCCAAGGTACCAAAATGCCCATTTTGAACTCCATCGACCTCACAGATCTTCTGCTTCAACTGCTGGATTTCATGTTCCAACCTACAAAAATGGAAATTGCATGAATTCACTCATTAACAGTATTTCCTGAGCATCATCACTGGTTGGGACATTGCTTTAGAAACCATGGGGAATTTACACAAAAATTGTGCAAAGAGAGTTATCTTCTAAAAGATGCTACATACCTAAAAGATAAGGTATAAGGTGATAATGGGCCACAAAAGTGGTTCAGATCAAGTGCTGCAGGCATCCAAAAATTAGAGAGTTTTACCATCAAGGGCAAAGATGTTTCCACAGTCCTCAAGCAAATCCTCAGAGGTAGATGTGCAGGATTCGGAGCCCTCTACCCTGGCTTCCATAAGACAGTTGTTTACTATATATCAAGATCCTACTTAGTGTTTCTGTTTGACAAAAGAGATCTAAGCTTTAAAGAGTTCTTTTTTAAAACCATCATCTAGGAAAACCTTCAAGGACAAGGCAGTTCTAAGTTGAACCTTCAGAGGCCAGTAGGAATTTGGAACTTTGGAGATGATGGTAGAGGTTCTCCAGGTAGACAAAGCAATACGAACACAGAAGCTAAGCCACGAAAATCAGGAATCCACTTTGGCTAAGACAGATAATACAGAAGAGGCAAAAAGATGAGAGATGTAGGAAAGCAGGCTGGCTGTCTCAAGAAATTCATATAAACCATAAACTGTGGCAATAAACTTTATCTCCTATGATAAATAATATATCTAACATGAGATCGTTAGTCTGTGAGGCTGTTCTCCCACTGACCCAGGGTACTGGAACCTGGAGTCATCAGGCTACAGGACCAAGTTTGCCAGTGAACTTGGTCCCAGGGAACACAAGACTTACCTAGAGGGTGCAGCCCACTTGGTGTGTGAACTAGGGGCAAGTTAATGAAATCTGGGTCTCCATATCTTTAGGTATCAAATGAGATAGTAGATTAGCCTCTCTAAACTCATCCAGATCCAAAAATCAGGGATTCTTTGGATGCTAACACACTATAATACCTCCAGCTCTCTGATGTTACCAGCAGCAATCTGACTGCTCCATCCCAAACATGAAAGCCACTTTCTAAACTGTTAAAATGAGCTTATGGGGTCACTAAGGTTAGCACTCATGGGTTCATTGGGAGGCAATGCCCTGCTTAACTCAGTGCTTCACCTGTCTACTGATTAGCAAGTCCTTACAGAGCATCAACTTGCATAGCATACAGTATTTTCAAAGGACAAGGGATGTGCATAAAAGAGTGATGTTAGGGGCCAGGTGCTGGGGCCAACAACCAGGGAACAATATTAACAGAGTCTCAGAGATCATAAGGAAAATGAGCCGAATATAAGTAGGTAACTGCCAATGTTTATAATTAAGATGTTGCCCAGTGGAGCTGTTCAAAGACATCTTTCAGGGCTGGTACCATGTAAATGACTCCACAGAGCAAAGGGGTTCGAGTGAAGCCTTGAGCAGGATTTATACAAATGGTTGCAGCATATATGAAGAACCAGCCTGTCAGGGCAGCAGCTCTGTGTCAACAGACAAGAGGTTAAGAGTTGGGAGGTTAGACATAGATTCAAGCTATTGCTCTGCCACTTTCCACTTGACACTTGTCCCCAATGGTTATATAACCATTAAGTAGAAAAGAAGATAGAAACTGGATTAAATTTTGCCCACAAAGCAACCAACAGGCAAAGCCAAGTTCAGTGCACTGCTGTCCAATCTGTTTCCACATATTTAATATTGCACACTTGTGCATTTCATGAGTGGTCAACTCAGGGTGCCTGGCAGGCCCTGGCTTAGCCATGAGAACCTTGAGAGATAATAAAACACTAAAAAAACCACAAGAGCATCACAACCAGAGCAAAGAGCTCAGATTTGTTGGCATAAATTAGGTCTTAGAAAAGTCTACTCCATCAAAACACGTGACACTAAAAGCCTCCTTTGCGTGGTTGCTGGAGGAATGCTGACATTGGGAAATCACTTCCATGGAAATCACAATACTGTATCAGCTATAATAGAGTATTAATACTAAATGGCAGGGAGCAAAGCCAGATGATGAGAGCCAGGGACATCAAGCTAAAAGCTCACGCTGCATTTTTACTGCACACTGCAAGATACAAATTGAGAGCCTGCCCTCCACTACTTCAAATTTCCTGGGGCTGGAGTTTTGTCCAGCAATTTCATTTATATAACATACCTGCAATCATATTGTTAAACCTCCAACCTTTTTCTCTGAAGTAATAGTATTATGGTTTTTGATTGTTATTTGTTGCTGCTTTGCCTGAGGGAATTACTGGAGAGTAACTGTAAATAGAATTCACAGTATAAGCAGATCATTTGAAAGGAGGTTGTCCAGACCTTTTCAGTCAAGATAATGGATGGAGGCTCCAGCAACACCTCAGAGTAGGCCTTGCCTGGCCATTAGCATGGACCCTAGGCTTCTGCCAATGTCCAGCTGGGCTCCTATTGGCCAGCTGACCAGTCTTCTGTTGCAGCCCCGAAAGAGGGTGGGAGGAATGCTGGGAAGGGAGGCAGCATTCCAGGCCCTCCAACCTGGGCTTACAGTTAAGATCTCAACTGAACAAAGGTCTGGAACTAAGATAATGCACAGGCCCCTGGTCTCACCCTCCCCTCCCTATGAGGGTGAGGACACTGTGGCTCAAAGATGAAAGATACTGCCCAAGGTCAGCATGCCAGAAAGGGCTGAGCCAGCAATTAAGCCCTGTGCAGGACAAATCAGGTGATACATGCCCATCAGGTGGTCCTCAGGCCTGAGAGTCTTGGCATCATGTCTTGAGGTTACCAGGAAAAGCATTCTCCAATTCATGTACTTATTCATTTTGAGAACCTACTGTGTGGGGAACAGTGATAGGAAATAGGTGAAGGAGGAGAGTATTCTCCTTTTATCATGAAAATAGTGCTACTTCCTAGTTTTATTTTTCACACCACCAACAGTAATATCAGTAAATAATCATCAAACATATTTCAACATACTACTGGGGGTTCAGAAACAGAGAGAGTTTTGTTTGGTTGTTTCTTTTTAAATACAGAATCCTGGGGCTTCCCCTCAAATACATACTGTGAATCATCAGGGTGGGAGAAGTATGTTCCCTTCCATCTCGGGTGTGAAAATCAGTATCTACGAAGGCACTGGGAGGTGCTTTACTGTAACTAGGGCTAGTCAGGGAGAGCATGCCAATGATGAGGAAGGAGAGAGGGAAAAAGAAGAAGGAGCTGAGCAGGGAGGAGGAAGAAAACAAGGAAGGAAAGAAGGAAAGAAGGGAGAAAGGAGGGAGGAAGGAAGGGGAGAGCAAGGAGTAGAGAGGAGGGAGGAGAGAGTGGGGAGGGAAATGGAAGGGAGGAGACAGAGTAGAACAAAGAAAGAAGAAGGAAGGACTCAAGGCTGTAAGTTCTCAGTCTTTCATATTTATCAAATATTGAAACATACACATTCCATAGGTCAATGAGGTCATGGACAAGGGCTTTGTTTCGGTTTATGTAGTCTTTCCAACTTGAGGCCAATGATTCTAAAACAAGGGTTGTAAGGAGGAAGTAAAGGATGTTTAGGGATATTTTTCTCAGGCAAATAAGCATTTGCCTGTGGATTAGACAATATAAAAGCTCAAAGAATTACTTTAAAAAAGAATGAGAAGCAGGAAATGCAGTGTACTTGGCACCAATGCTATGCCATGCTCTCCTTTCCTTTGCCTCACCTCTCCCGGTCCTTCTCCAGGGCCTCCTGCTCAGCTTCTAGGCTGGCCTGCAGCCCTGACTGCTCACTGCTGCTGCTGTTCAAAGTGGCCAGCTTCTGCCTCTGCTCTTCGATCTCCAGGCCCAGGGTGGAGCGCCTCTGCAGGGCTGAATGCCTCCTCTCTAGCCGGGCTACAGCCAGCTCCAGAGCCTCCCTCTGCTGCTTCTCTCGGGATTCTAGAATCTCCTTTTCCTTTTTTCTCACTTTTTCTTCCTGCCGTGCAATGTTGGCAGTGAATTCAAAGGTGGCTTGAAGCTTCTGCAGCTGGCTTGCATTGGCTTGGTACTGTGCAAGCTGTTCTTCTTTTTCTTCCATTTCTTTTTCTACTTGGTAAAGAGTGTTGTCTAGGCCAAGAGGGCCTCTATCAAGGATTTCAAATGCTCTCTGCTTTTCTTCTAACAGAGTTGGCAAATGATTCTGCAGGAGGTACTGGAGCTGGCGTTCTTTATATTGCAGCCTGTACTCTGCTGGCTTTATTTTCTCTAAGTCTTGAGTGACCTGGGTAACATACATGACACTATCATCATTTTTTTCCAACAACCTAAATTCTTCTTCACTCTCAGTTTTTAAACGCTCTAGGATTTCCTGTTCTTCTTCAACTTCTTTCTTCAGGAGGTCCTTCTGCTGCACCAGGTCCTTCTCCAGGTTGGCTAGCTTGACCAGCTGCCTCCTCTTGAACTCTAAGAAATGTAGCTGAGCCCTTTCTAACTCCCCACCATCGTCATCACCCTCAGCACGGGCTTCCTTCACCCGCAGAAGGGACTCCCGGATGCCTTCCAGGTCTCTCCTCTCCTCTTCCACCCGCTGTACCTCCCCTCGCCGGAGGAGCCGGATCATCTCCTGCTTCTCCCGGAGCTGCTCTTCGAGATGGGCCACCAGCATGACCTGCTCCTTTTCTTGCTCCTCTAGCCGCTTTTTCTCCAGTTCAAGCTTGGCATATTGCTCATCCTTTTCCCTTTTGAGCCGGTCCAGTTCTTGAAATATCTGGATCTTCTCAGCCTTCTCATTGTTGTTGAGTTCCTGGAGCCGCTGCAGTTCTTCTTTGACCCGGAGAAAACTCTCTTCTTCTTGTTTTCTCTTCTGCAGTTCAATTTCCTGCTGCTCCCTCAGTCTTTCCTCTTCAAATTTCTCTTTCTCTGCGAGCAGATCCTTCAGCCTGCTTTCAATGTGGAAGCTGCGGCGTTTGAGGCTCTCCTCCTGCTTGCGGATCTGGAGCTGGACAATTTCTGTCTCCTTGCGCTGACTCTCCACCTCTTGCTGCATCCGCTCTAGTTCTGCCTTATCTGATTTTTGCTTTTCCTCCATTTCTTCTATGAGTTTCCTGAAATGCAAAATGCTGACTAATCATTATTTGATCACAGTGTTCAAAGGTTTCTCTTTCCCCTGAAATGCTCTGAAAATGAATATACAATATAAAGCCAAACCCTCCACTACAATAAAAATGAGGGAGAACTGTTTGCCTTTCCATTTCCAATAGTAGCCTGCTTATTTTTTTCACTCTATAACCGTCCAACATCATTTCATATTTCATAGTATTTGCCTAATCTCTTAAAGTAGCCTCTGATATAATTTCTTTTGTAGAGTCTATAAGCATAATATGTTATGAATGATATAATTTTAAAAGCCCCATGAGCTCAAAGAGAAAGAACCATGACCAATTTAAATTTAAATATGAATAATTTTGTTCAGCCCAATGGCTAAAATGCAACAGAAATTCAGTTATGAGATGATATTTCATAAAAATGCTTATGCTGTCTTCAAATCATTGGGGTTGAATATCAAAGTCAAGACAATCCACAGTTTATTGTTCCTGCTCAAATAACTACATGCTATTTAGCATTTAATCACTAGTTTAGGAAAACTAGTAATCACCAAATGGCGATGGTAATCACCAAATGGCCCAAAATATTAGCTTATTAATACATAAAACTGAAAATAACAGCCTTCATTAGAATACTTAAATGCATGATCCCAGGGGTTGCATATTATGTGTTGTCCAGGAGAACAAATGATTTCCATTGGGTGCTAACTCAATATTTTGAGATTGAGATGGCCTCCAAAGCAAGAACACAGAGTATATAAGAGCATTGATACATGGCTTCCCTCTCCTGACCCACTAAGGATCTATCTTATATGATACTGGAAACTGATTCATTTGTAATACCTAAAGTCCAGATTCTAGAAAATAAATATTCACTTTGTATATTTTCTATGGCTTTAGTTTCTACTCTAAAATCTTAGTCCATTTCTTGGACTATTAAATAGAACAGAAAAAAGGAAAAGGAAATTTTTAAATCAAATAATTGTACTCAGAACATATAAAAACTCCCCAAATCAATAAAAAAAAAATCAGACACACACACGTACACAAAAAAATGAAGTGCAGAATACTAAGAAGTGGATTACAGAGGGTAATACAAATGGCCAACCAGTATAAGAAAACATATTTAAAAGGGGGGAGGCATAAGGAAGGGAAATTGTCATTATTTCAGCTTTTTAAAAACTCAGCTGATATTCTTAAGATATATTTTTTTAAGTTAAGCTTAAACAAGTATATATTTGGTTTATTAAGTTTAATAAGTATATTAAATTTGCCTACTAACTCAATTCCTCCTTTCTCACCAGTATTTGAAAAATTCAAACAAGAAGGAAAACTAACCAGCTAAAGAAAAATGGCCTACAGTCATTAGACATGTACATTACAGACATAGAGCTAGAGGGAGGTATTGAAACAGACACAGATGAAATCAGTCTAAGACATTAACATAAGAATCCACAACTACAGTTGTGTTAAAACTCAGTAACCCATGTAGCTTACCTTTTACTTTCTAATTTTTCAAGTTCTTCACGCTGTTGCCGCTCAAATTCAAGTCTAAATAAAATCAAATGAAAATGAGTCACCTCTCTACAAAGCTTTCCTCTCTCTTAATCTTTGTATAGGTATATTTTACAAAGAGCATCAGTTATTCAAGAATGATTTTTCGCTACTATGAATTAGCAAGTTTAAAATGAATACTCTGCTCTATGACTATGATTAGAAATTAGACATTCTTTTATGGGTGCTTGAATTCAGACTAAATAAAAACATTTGACTTAAAGGAAAACAAACAAAACACCACTGTACTGAAAAAGCATAGTGAAAAGAGACTTCTAAATGAGAAGCATGTCTACTCCATGCAGTTTAGTGACCGATGAGTATATAAAAATGAAGAATCTCTACCTTAGACAGATGGGTCCTTTTATAGGGAAAAGACTGCCAGGGAGGTAGAGAGAGAAAGTACAGACATCAATTAAGAAAAGAATTAACTGAGGAAAATATTAGGAGAAAAGCAATAAGGTACAAAAGCCAATAGCCAAGGACAAATTGATATGTCTTTTCATAAATATCACATTTCCCAATACTTTCTTGAAGCAAACACTCTAACACTCCAAAGAGTTAGCTGTTATGCACACTTCCCATGATAATTATAGCACTAATAATAGTTGAGTATGAATAATAATAGCAAACAATAGTCAAATTTTCTACTTTGCAGATAGTCATACAACAGGAAGTTTGTCAAAATCCTCCTTAACTAGTAGTTACATGAGGCTACATAGATCAGAAACATTTACCATAATGGAAGCAAAATAAATGGGGTTGAGCCATTGAAAATTCTGAAAAAATAACTCAGTAAAATATTGATAACAAAGGCTGATTTTTTCCTCAAACACTAGATTTAATTAATGCAAGATTTCACTATTTCACTAATAAATAGCATGAACTATAATTCACACATTTTCCTGTTGTGGTAGATGGCAGATACATCTAAAAACTTGAACTATGGGAAAATTCACTATGAATTATTTCCTTGGGTAATGCGCAAGTCCAAATTGAACACAGTTACCTTTACAATGAGCTAACAAATATTTCAAATAGATGTGTCACCAATTTAATTTGGTATAATATTGAGAATAAGATAGCTAATGGACTTTGTAAGTGGAAATGAGTGTTGTGCTTAGTGATTCACATATTAGCTTACTTTATCTTCCTTGCAAATCCTTAAAGGTAGCAAACTGTATCTCCAGTTCACAGATTAGTAACCAAAGCTTGGGTATATGAATGAACTTGTTCAAGGTCATAAAGATAACATATGGTGGAGCCAGGGTATGAAGCCCTGGCAGCCTGCTTCCAAAATAGCTGCAATTAATTCACTTTTAAAAGCAATGATCAAATTTGTGATATACAATGAAAGTATTAAATCCTTTTATTGAAACTTGTCATTTACATGATAATGTACATAGAAAATCCGATAGACTCCACCATAAAACTGCTTGACCTAATAAATAAATTTGGCAAAACAGTGGGATACAAAGTCAATATCCAGAAATCAAAGGCATTTCTGTACACCAACAATGAAACAGCAGAGGCAGAAATCAAGAAAAAAATCCCATTTGAAATAACGAAAAGAAAAATAAAATACCTAGGAATAAACCTAACCAAGGAGTTAAAAGACCTGTATTCAGAAAACCACATAACACTGAGGAAAGAAATCAAGGAAGACACAAACAAATGGAAACATATACCATGTTCATGGATTGGAAGAATTAATATCATCAAAATGTCCATACTACCCAAAGCAATTTACACATTCAATGCAATACCTATTAAAGTACCAATGGCTTATTTCACAGACATAGAACAAACACTTCAAAAATTTATATGGAACCATAAACAACCCCGAATAGCTGCTGCAATTTTGAGAAAGAAGAGTAAAGTAGGAGGGATCACAATACCTGACACTAAACTATACTACTACAAGGCCACTGTAATCAAAACAGCCTGGTACTGGCATAAGAACAGGCACATGGACCAATGAAACAGAACAGAGAGCCCAGAAATAAACCCAAGTCTCTAAGGTCAATTAATATTTGACAAAGGGGGCAGCAACATAAAATGGAATAAAAATAGCCTCTTCAACAAATGGTGTTGGGAGAACTGGACAGCTACATGCAAAAAAATGAAACTCAAGCACCAACTTACACCTTATACAAAAATAAATTCAAGGTGGATAAAAGACTTAAATATAAAACGTGACACCATTAAAGTCCTAGAGGAGAACGTAGGTAGGAAAATCTCAGACATTTCACGCAGAAACTTTTTTACTGACATGTCTCCTACAGCAAGGGACATAAAGGAAAGAATAAACAAATGGGACCTCATCAAAATAAAAAGCTTTTGCACAGCTAAAGAAAAGAGTATCAAAATAAAAAGAGAACCAACTGCATGGGAAAACATATTTGCCAATGATACCTCAGACAAGGGTTTAATCTCTAAAATATAGAAAGAACTTACACGACTCCACTCTAAGAAGACAAGCAACCCAATTAAAAAATGAGCAAATGACTCGAACAGACACCTCTCCAAGGAGGACATACAGAAGATCCAAAGACACATGAAACGATGTTCAATATCGCTAGCTATCAGAGAGATGCAAATTAAAACCACAATGAGATACCACTTCACACTGGTCAGAATGGCCATCATAAACAAAGCAACAAACAACAAGTGTTGGAGAGGTTGTGGAGAAAAAGGGGACCCTAGTGCACTGTTGGTGGGACTGCAGACTGGTACAACCACTATGGAAAGCAGTATGGAACTTCCTCAGAAAACTAAAAATGGATCTGCCTTTTGACCCTGTAATTCCACTGCTGGGACTATATCCTAAGAACACTAAAACACCAATACAAAAGAACCTTTGCACCCCGATGTTCATTGCAGCACAATTTACAATAGCTAGGTGCTGGAAGTAACCTAGATACCCATCAGTAAATGAATGGATCAAAAAACTATGGTACATTTGCACAATGGAATTCTATGCAGCAGAAAGAAAGAAGGAGCTCCTACCCTTTGCAACAGCGTGGATGGAGCTGGAAAGCATTATGCTAAGTGAAACAAGCCAGGCAGTGAAAGACAAATACCATATGATCTCACCTTTAACAGGAACCTAAACAACAAAACAAAGAAACAAGCAAAATATAACCAAAGACACTGAAATAGACGACAGACTGACAGTGACCAGAGGGGAGAGAAGAGGGAATTTCAGGGGAGAATGGGAAGGGTTTACAGGAGCAAATTTAAAGGACACATGGACAAAAACTAGGGGGAGGGTGGTAATGGGAGGGAAGTGGGGTTGGGTGGGTGGGCTGGAATGGGAGTAAAAGGGAGAAAACTGTACTTGAACAATGATTAAAATAAAATAAAAATAAAAATAATAAAAATAAAAATAACTGTTTAAAATATCTTAGGAACTTATTTTATACAACTAAGCAACAAAGAAATAGCCAACCTATCAGATGCACAGTTCAAAACATTGGTAGTCAGGATGCTCATAGGATTGGTTAAATTTGGCTGCAAATTAGATGAAAAAAATGAAGGCCATGCTAAGTGAAATAAAGGAAAAGGTACAGGGAACCAATAGTGATGGGAAGTAAGTGGGGACTTGAATCAACAGTGTACACCAGAAGGAAGAAAGAAACATTCAACTAGAAAAGAATGGAGAAGAAAATTTTAAAAAATGAGGAGAGGCTTAGGAACCTCCAGGATATCTTGAAATGTTCCAACATCCAAATCATAGAGGTAGCGGAAGGAGAAGAGGAAGAGCAACAAGTGGAAAACTTATTTGAATAAATAATAGAGGACAACTTCCCCAATCTGGCAAAGGAGATAGACTTCCAGGAAGTCCAGGAAGCTCAGAGAGTCCCCAAAAAGTTGGAACACACTAAGTCCCATCATAATTACATTACCCAAGATTAAAGATAAGGAGGGAATCTTAAAAGCAGCAAGAGATAAGGAAACAGCTACCTACAAAGGAGTTCCCATCAGACTGTCAGCTGACTTCTCAAAAGACATTACAGGCAAGAAGGGACTGGAAATAAGTATTCCAAGTCAAGGACTTACATCCGAGATTGCTCTATCCAGCAAAGCTTTCATTTATAATGGAAGAGCAGAGAAAGTGCTTCTCAGATAAGGTCAAATTAAAGGAGTTCATCATCACCAAGCCCTTATTATTTGAAATGTTAAAGGGATTTATCTAAGAAGAAGAAGATAAAAAAAAAATATGAGCAGTAAAATGACAGCAAAGTCACAATTATTAACAACTACACCTAAAACAAAAGCAAACTAAGCAAACAACTAGAACAGGAACAGAACCACAGAAATGGAGATCACATGGAGTGTTATCAACAGGGGAGTGGGAGGGGGACAGAGGAGGAAAGGTACAGAGAACAAGTAGCATAAATGGTAGATAGAAAATAGACAGGGGAAGGGTAAGAATAGTATAGGAAATGTAGAAGTCAAAGAACTTATATGTATGACCCATGGACATGAACTAAAGGAAGGGAATGTGGGTGGGAGGGGGGTGTGCAGGGTGAGGGGAGTGAAGGGTGGAAAATGGGACAATTATAATAGCATAATCAATAAAATATATTTAAAAATAAAGAAAAAAAGAAACTTGTCATTTAGGGTTATATTCATCCTTCTATCAAATGAAAGTAATCAGTAGATTATAGGCACTGCCATCCATGAGAAGTCAATAATACACACACACACAAACACACACAATTTTTGCAAGTTCCCAAGCCCAGCACATAAGTAATTACACTAAGTGGGAATAGGGCTCCATTACAGTCAATATATAATCACTCTCCTTTACATAACAATGAACAAACCTTGGGAATTTTTCCTAGATTATTTTTTAGACTTTGGTACAGTTTAATCTTTTTATAGATATTTATACAGTCAAAAAGAATTCCTGGATAAAACACTTTCAAACTCAGAGAATTTTGCTAATGGAATTATCTTTATTCTCTAGTTTTATTTTTTCTGAACAATAGCTCAATGTGACTATTAATAGACACTGCTCTGACAATGTCACAAGTGCATGGTCATAAGCCAAATGCTACTCCAAAAGTTGGGAGATCCAAGTTCAAATGAAAACCTATCACCAGAGGAGTGTTTGCAATGTGCAGGCGCTGGGCTGGTCAGTCGGTGCACAATGCCCTCACTTTGTTCCCCCAACCCCAGCAGGCTGACAGGTTTCTCATCCTTATTTTATAGAACAGGAAACTGAGGTTCAGAGCATGTAAGTAGCAGAGGGAGAACTTGAATCCAAATTTGATATTAAAGTCTATACTGCCAACAAATATAATTGTTACTAATGAGTTACATGGTCTCAGGTCATAAAATGTGAGTTTTAATATCTTCAGTTCTCTAAA